AAACTGAATACAGAAAAAACTGAATTTCTAATATCTGGAATAAGTTCGATTTTAATTAACGTTATTTATATTAACGGTGATCCTATCAAGCCTCAAAACAATCTAAAACATCTTGGTTTCCTTTGGGATAATAAGAACAAAAAAATGACAGCAACACTCCAAAAACAAAATATAACTGAACGTGTAACGCAATTTTTATCTGTTGCAAAAGGTCTTATAAGAAATGGACTTCGCTTTTGCCAGCCTGCTACCATAGTTCATTTATTTAATTCTTTAGCTGTTCCAACGTTGTTATACGGATTAGAACTGTGTGGAAGCAGCAATAAGTTTCTAAATAGCATTGATATAGCTGGACGATCTGTCTTAAAATCCTTCTTTAATATTTCAAAGCAAAGTAGAAATTATCTACATTCTTATTTCAAAGTAGACGCTGTGTCAGACATTCTTTTTCGCAACAAGTTAAATCTATTTATCAGGCTTTTAAACAACCCCATATGTTACTCGATTATACGGACTCAGATGCCTTTAATGAATCAACGATCATTTGTGGGTGAGGTAATGATAATGTGTAAGAAAGCTGATATAAACATGCTCCAATTTATGATCGAGGGTAAGAAAATTATAATTGCACGCCCTCAGGAAGCATTGGAGGCCAATGTTGCGGCGATCTTAAAACAATCGTTCCAACACTGGAATTTAAAGGAACAAAGAGAAGTATTTAGAACGCTGATGGAGGAAAACATTCCAAGAACGATGCAAGAAAATACTTAAATGTGCTTTGTTTTTTTTTTTTTAATACTTTTACCTATAGTTTATGTAATTACTGGGTGTTTAAAAGAATAAATATATAAAGTATCAAAAAATCATAAAATGATGTTTGAGTTTTTGATATTTTACTCAACAGAGTTGATCCAATTTCAGTGAAATATTTATTGAATTTATGAGCTATTATTTGTGGTTCATACAAGCTATTGTTATATTGATCTCACACTATAATGGAAATTTTTCAAGTGACATCAGATATATACATTATGCATCATAGTTTTTGAGATTAAGACTAAGAGATTATTGTGTGAAATTTAGAATTTATTGATGAAATAAATTTATTTTAAAGAAGTACAAAAAATCTGTTATCAAATTGTTGCTATCTTGTTTATGGCAGTTTTGGCCATAATTTTAGGGCTTTTATGTTCCCAAACTCCAATAATTGCAATTTTTTGCAAAGCATTCTTACAAACATAAATATAAGCAAATAAATTTTCGGAGTTTGTTCCATATCAGGAAGTTAACATCTCAAACATCAAAAAACGCTGGATTCACGCCTGCTATAGGTATACTTTAATGTAAATTCATAAATGCAAATTAAAGAATGTGCATACTTTAATAATCAGTAATCCTACAAAAAGAAATTTTTTGAAAAAAATTGGAGCCCCCAAAAGTTTAAGTATCTTAAACCTCAGTTTTCCTTAATCCAGCACTGAAGAAAACAAACCCTCAAAGTTTCTTTACCACTCTTTCTCCGTTGATATTTTTTTCACTTGTATTTTCTCAAACAGTTACACTGCTATTTTTTGGTAATAACATTCCTCCTCATATTACAACATTGAGAAAACATAACGGGAAAACAAAATTTAAAAAAGAAAGAAAAAATGCTATAGTTAAAACCAGATTTACGCGCAAAAAATTGCTTTTGTTAAAAACAGATTACGCGCTAGGGTTGTAATCGTGGTCACGATTCGTGGACTTAGCTCGTTAATCGTGTTCATAGCATAACATACCTCTCGTAATTGATAAAATTATACTATTTACTCCAGATGTAAATTGCTTTAATTTATAAGAAAATAGTTAAAGCTACGATTTTGTTCTAACTAAAAAAATTTTAATTAGAATAAATTACCTGATAATAATTAATAATTTTTTGTTTTAATAATTTTAAATTAATATAAAGTTTTTTTTTAGATCAACTTATGATCTTTTTTTTTTCATTACATGATTGTAATAAAAAAAAGTTAAAAATTTATTTATTCCAAACGTAAGTAAACTTATGTTGTTAGTAACTTTACTTTTACTTTTCATTTACTTTTATTTAAAATAATTTTCAGCTAGGCTAAATTTATTAATAGTAAAAATGAATGAAATGTATGTCGATCATGGTTATTGCAAAGAGTAAAAATTCAAAAAAGACGTAATATTTCTTAATCTCATTTTATGTAATTTAAAAAAGTGAAATAAGTTAGTTTTTTCTATTTCTCTAGAAAATTAAAAAAAAGAAAAAATGAATTCATCACTACTAATTTCTGATTCTGTTTTTATTGATGTTTCTGAATCAAAATTTAAGTTTAATAATGAATTATCTTCTTGTGAGTTTTCTGATGACAATGCACAAAAAATCGACACAACATTATCTGATGTTGATGATTTGCATTCAAAAAGCTTGAATAATAGTCAAAGTCAATTTGAGGCTAAGAAATCTGCTCCAATTAACATGACAAGAGAAGAAGCAATGAAACTAGTAAATATTGCAGCAACTTTGTTACAGGCTA